GAGATGGGTAGGCAAGAACCATGCTCCCCGCTGATCCTTCTGAGCAGATGGAGTAGGGAGACGTCTGTCCTGTCATGAGAATCACAGTACATTTCACTTATGTCTCAGGTGAAGTTGCTGTTCTTTGTGCCAGGGAACATTTTCTCCAGGGAACAAGCAGAAAGCCACAATCAGCCAAGGTGCCAAAGTTGCAAAGCAAGAGACAATCATCTGTTCTTGTGATTGTATGGTCTCCCTCCTTCATGTCCCTTTATATCCTTGATATTTCTGTACACAATCCCAAGGAAGACAGTGGTCTATAAGCTAAAACTTCTAATATGCTGTGTACATATGTATAGGCAAATTTGCTATCCATTGGAAAGTCTCTACATGTTTTATGCAAAATAACTCATGTTATATAAGACAAGGGAAGCTCTTCCCAGTCATTCAAACTTGTGCACATTAGTTTTGGTTTTGATAAACCTAATGAATGAGTGTAGAGCTGTCAAGGAAAAAGCCACAAAACAGAAAGAGGTGCACTGTTAATTGTCCAAAGGTGCATGCTTAGATGACAATCCTTAGTCTTCTTTAGTCTTTCTTAAGGAAGAGACTTGGGGAGAATATGATTTGTTGGGCATCATTGCCCAAAAATACAAAACATCAAGAGCTCAGAACAATTGTCAACTTTGGAGTGTCTTGTTTTACCTAGAAGAGTTTTCAAAAGATGAGTTAAAACACTTCTAGAGCAAATTATTTCTGAGCTTGACATGTTTTATATAAAAAAATTTTAATAGCACTTTCAAGCAGAAGCTATCAGAAACCACCTTTCAAGTTACCTGCTGTGGAACTGAATTGGAATAGATTACTTGTTTAGATTCTGATTGCTAAGGCTGTTGGTACACATTTGCCACACAGCTGCTAAACAGGCCTGAAGGATTACATCCAACTTTGAATGTTAGGCGGGGAACAGACTGAACAAAAACTCAGACAGTTCTATCCTTTTCTGTGATTCCAAGTCGAGTCACTCCTCACGTTCAAAGTTGGAAGTAAGCCTTGAGGCCTGTTTAACAGCTGTGTGGAAAATATGCCCAATGAAGCCTCACTAGAGGCATGACGCAACTAACGTGCCACATAGAAGCCTCTGAAATACATGAAGCTGCTGCAATGTTTAACTTGTAAATTTGATCCACTGAAAAAAATGAAACACAATTTTATTGTTCTTACCTAGGGATAACTGGGTTGGATGTTTTAATTAATAGGTTAAAAAAGTCAACAAATTTATTATGGGCAGTTATAAAAACCGCAGGACTTCCCTGCATCTTAACGGATTAACAGATCTTAACAGATCTTAATGGATTCCCTCTCCCATAAGATAGATTTTCCTCTGCCTAAAAGTAAAACAGTCTGCTTGCTTCAGAAAAATCGAGGGTTTTTCCCCATCAACCATTTTATTAAAACTGATTATGTTTAGTTAACCATGTTTTTTTTAAAAAGGCCCATAACCCCTCATTATATGAAGGAAAGCATGTGCATCGCCAAACAGGAAAAAAATGAATAAGAAAAAGTTTAGAATAGAGTGAAAATTGCCAAGAAAAAAGCCTTAGAGGCTTGAATGACATTAATCCTTTAAGGATTTGGGAAGCTATGGAATATTATTTTTAAGCACCTTGGGGACATTCCCTTAATCTTTATGTATATGGGACATAATGTTTTTTTTTAAAAAGGCCTCTTTGCAATACAGTAACCATTTCACAGAATTGTGCAGCAATCCCGATTGAATGTTGTCAAAAATGAGCTGAATGAAGCCATTGAGATTCTTTCTCGAAGGCAGTTTCCAGAAATATTGAAAAGACTCAAGCTTATTATTCTGTTTGCTGGCATTTTAATTACTCTGCACCCAATAGTATAGGGACACTGTTTACATACCATATGCTATATTCAAGAACAAATCCCTACTGTAGATATGAAAAATTCAATTGAAGAACACCCCCCACCCCCAGCCCCCACCCCAAGAATTTCCTTGCTGGGTTGATGACAGTTCCAAGTACGTAGCACTGCATCTGTAATGTTACCAGTTGAGGAAAGATCAGGAGATGCCACAAATGAGATTCTTTTCTTCTAGGAATCTCATCTTTGCTTCAGGAACCTCAGCATGGGATTCATAGCACTGACGTGCCTATAGACATTTACTTCAACAACTTCAAGATTTCCTATTCTGCTTTTTAAAATCAAAGCAATATTTTAAACAAAGTTGGTAAGCTGTGGGAAAAGCTGCCAGCTTCTGTCATGTTCTTTATGTTCAGAAATGCCTCTGTTGGCCAGGCAGGGTCCTCATAGAAGGCAGCAATGGCAGTGTTTTGCTATTGAAAATGTGACCATGTGCTTAGAACAAAAGAGAAGCTAATATCTAATATTAATAGGGTAGTAAAGAGCATCCTTGCTCATTTTCTTTCTGGTAAATGGGAGTTTCAAACTGGCCCAACCACCACAGCAGTCCTTCTGAGAATTCACAATGGGGCCATGACAAACATTTTGTGAGGTTGGCATATTTTTCTATTTCAGAGGTTGAGGGATTCCTGCCTTGGCTTAAGGGGAATTATGATAGCATCTTTTGTTGCTGTTGAAGAAGAAAATAAGAGACAGAGGGAAACCTAATTCAAAATGGACGTACAGTAGTCCTTAACTTATACCATTCATTTAGCAACCAAAGTTACAATAGCAGTGAAAAAAGTAAATTATGACCACTCTTCACCCTCACAACTATTACACATCCCCATGGTCATATGGGCAAAATGGGCTTGAACACTGGGATATATTTATGATGATTGTAGAATTCCAGGGTCATGTCTACGGAGATTTCCAATCACGGTTGTACCAAAGGTGCTTTTTCAAGAGGCAACTGGACTTTCTTTAGTTTTCTTTGGTATGTTTTGCTTCTCATACAAGAAGCTTCTTCAGGTCTGAAGAAGCTTCTTGGATGAACAGCGAAACATCTCCAAAGAAAAACCAGAAAGTCCAGTTGCCTCTTGAAAAAAGCACCTTTGGGATCCCAGGGTCAAATGATTGCCAGCAGTGGTGGGATTCAAATTTTTTTACTACTGGTTCTGTGGGCGTGGCAGGGGAAGGATACTGTAAAATCTCCAGTCAGAGGTGGGATTTGCTGGTTCTCCGACCTATTCAAAATTTCTGCTACCAGTTCTCCAGGCCTGGTCAGAACCTGCTGAATACCACCTCTGATGCAGACTAAGAAATTCCTTCTTCCATGGAAGCTGTGCAATCCTCTTTCATTTTTGGTTTAAAATAAAAGTCTACAGAAAGATGATTCTGCTTTGAGATTCTTTTAGTTGAATCTCAGTGTTTCTAGAGGGTACCAGGCCAGGAAAGGCCAAATTAATTTCTTTATCCCCAATCCATTTGGCCTTAAACATCCAAGTCTTAACAATAACAAAAATATCTTTTGCTCCCTCCTTCTGTATTTTTGTTTAAATTTCCCAAATATAGTAGGATGCATACAGTCATTAAGATTGATTCAGTTTAGATCAATTATTTTCTTATTGTTAATGTATTGCAAAATCCAGAAAATCTATTACTTCAATTATGAGGTTAAGTATGGTGTATGAATACGATTACAATCAAACAAACCTTCCCACATAAGTAGTTGATGCCTTTTTAAAAAAAGTTCTAAACTACACATACTTGTTCTTAATAGAATGAACCTCATAAAAAGGGTCTGGCCTATGAAATGGGGCCTATCATATTTGTTTATACAATGCGGAGGCTATATTATTCATGTCAGAGTGATAACATCAGTTCATTGGAATTGAAAGGAACAACAACAAAAAGATTGCTGATGAACAGCTAAACTTCCAAGTATTTGGAAGACTGTGTGTTATCCATCTGGAGTAAAAAGGGGAGAGAAATGTATGTTGCTCATTTAAAATCACCCCTTCAGAGTACATCATGCAATTATCTCATGTACTAGCCAACAAAACAGCAAGGAACATTTTGTGGATAATCAAAAGCAAAAGGCTGGGATCTTACAAATACCACACCCATGTTTATATAGGATGTAGCAAGGTAATGGGCTACAAATTTTTGCTAGGTCTGAGGGGAAGGTATTGGTTTAAATTCCTTAATTCTTTAGGACGATTGCCTTGTTTTGTTTACAGAGACAGACACAATTAACTTTTGAGTTGGATTTATGAACTAAGATTATATCTGTAGGAGGCTGCTATTTAGAATAGAATATTGGAGAAATGCAACATTTCTTACTTCAAAGAGAGTCCAGCAAGACCAAGGTCACAGCACCCAACATTCCTTGGAGTTTTTCCATTCCAGTGGAAAATCTTTGGCCATGATTCTTGCAATTCCCAGAAATCTCCCTTGCAACAGTTGCAGTATTTCCAGGATTGACATAAGTTATCAACAGTGGTATTCACTGCTGAATATCCAAAGGGCAGCGCTTGTAACAGCATTTTCATCCAAATGGTAAATTTTCCTTCAGTTGTTCTATGCAAAAATATCACAAATCTCCTTTTTGTCCATGTGTGTCTATGTGTTGATTTTATTTTTACTGCTCCACAATGCTTAATTAACTCATTTAAACTGATGTATACCATGCCTGTTTAAAAGGATAAAGAGAAATTCTTCACTCTCTACAGAGGGCAGAAAGGCCAGAAAAGAGAAAACCTATTCCACAAAACCTACCTCCACAGAACCACAGAGGCTATGTGGTTTCACAAGCAAGGAGCCTTAGGCCAACCTTGAAATTGCCTAAGACTTCTGGAAAGCAATAGCCATGAAAAGCCATAAAAGCACTTAATGTTCCTCATTTGAAAAAGGTTATTTCTCCCATCCTTCTTGGTTTTCATATGTATGATGTTTAATAGAGCCTTAACTATTTTATATGGCAATATTACAACTCACATGATATTGGCAACGCTGAACTTGTTATATATGCTTGCTAGAATGAAATATTATTAATGGGGAAAAATTTGTATAATTACCCTTTCTTTTGTTGGTTTACATTTTGAGCAAATGACATATCAAAACCAGAGCTCTTTGAGAGACAGCTGTGCCAAAGAAAGCATTTAATACATTTCTGTTGTGTTTGCATTTTATACAAATGAACTGTTTTCAGCAGATGTTTCTTGTTTAATATATTAAAAGAACTGCAATATCCAATAAACTAGATATTACTTTTATGTTCCACCCATACTTTGCCATCCCAACCTACACACTTTTAATATTTTAGTAGTCATAAATCAAACTTGTATACTGATTCCAAGCAGTGGGACTCACTTACCCAACACTTAAAAGATGTGTGGGAGGTGAACAGCCATTCAAGCAACTACACTGGTCATCTCACACACTGGCGATAGGAGGCAAATCTCCTGCACACTCTTATTAGTTTTCCCACCTACTTATTCATGAGAGCTGGAATGTGCACCCATTCAAAAGGTGTTTATCATCCCAACTGGGCCAATTCTTCTCAAATCTTTCTATTGCAGCTTTTTATATATATAGCTGAAGTCAAGTACAAAAGGTTGTAGGCACTAGCCAAATAACAAGGGGAAAAAACACAAGCTGAAGACTAGAGTTTCACCCATAAGATTTAAAGGGATATGCTGATTTCATCCCATTTATACATAGGATAATCAGCTTATTTGCATGATGACATCATGGCATGCATGATCATACTTATTCCTCTTCTCCCCCCACCCCCTTGAAGGGATATATGGATCAAAATATGCCCGTTTCTATACTACGTATGTCACTTTCAACCTCAGTCAATGCCTGCAGACCCTAAGTCCACTTAAGGCACTGAATGCTAAATGAACGTTTACCTTCAGACTCACATGGAAACTTCTAAAATAACATGCAAAGTAAAGTTTGAACTGGAAATAAGAACAATCCAATTCAAAACATGAGAAGCAAAATAAACCAGGAGTGTATCTGATGCAGATCATTAAACTTCAATGTGGTAGGATTAAATCCATTTTTTTCTGATGTTCGGGACTAAAAATGTAGCAGAAGCACGTTAGTGTGTTCACCGATATACATCTAGGCCCAAGAGCGACCTTTTAAGAAAATTATTAATTACATTTATTCCAACATCTAGCAAAAAAAACTCCTAAAAATCATGTTCTATTGCTGCTTTCCCCAAACTTTATTATAACCTTCTACATTTGTTGGTAACTTGAATCCAGAAAACCCCAACTACTGCATACAAAGCAACAGACTGCAGAAGATTAAAAAGATACAAGGTTGTACTTTCCTGAGCACAGTGACTTCATCTAATCTCAGGATAGAAATACGTCTGGGACTACGGACTATAAATATCAAAAACCCAACCCCTGTTGCCACTGACTGCAGCCTTTTAACATCACTAAATACCTTCACTAGTACAGGCGAACTTGCATTTTGCTAAACAGTTCCGTTTCTTCTGGAGTCCGGATGTATTGTTCAATCTCACTGTCTAAAATGGGCTCGTCCCCTGTGACAGTTGGGCCTTCAGGGTCTGGATTGCTGGGTCGAGGCTTCTTTGTTGGGTACAGGATACAAGGTGGAAGCAAAGGCATCCGCTTCTTCCCAGCAACAGAAGCCTCTTCTGTCAAAGCAATGGTTGGTTTTATAGGCTGATGGTCTGGTGGTGCTGTGAAGTTCTCAGGCTCATGGTCTTTTGTGGTATCCACCATACGAAAAGCCGCCCGTAGGAGCACACGGCGATGTTGCAGCAAGTCTCCAATGTATTTTGACACAGACCTCCGGTCCACTTTGAGCCCTCGCAACCAACCTAGTTGAGGGGCCATCTGAAGGAGAATATTATGCAATTCCTTCAGTCTTTGTGGGGCTGGCCGTGGCATGTCCATGCCAGCGAGCTTACAGAACTTTGTAAGGGTGCAAGTGAGGCGATCAACAGGTCGCAAAGACTGCCATGCCAAGAAAGCTGCTGCCATTACAATGGGGATGGGATGCCGACCAGTCACCAGCCACGTCTCGCTGGCAAGCTCCACTATCTGGATTGTCCTGGCCAACAGTTTCTCCTTGTCTTCCAGAAATTTGGCTGGGATGCTGGATGATTCCTGGAAAAGCTTAAAGCTGAAAGGGACAAAATATATTGGCAGTATGGAAAAGCCTACCAGTACAGCTCATTTTATAGTTTTTGTACTATAACCTGCAATATTTAATCATTTAATAGTTAAAATGTTTTCACTGATTTAATGCATGGCCCAAATAATGTAGCAAAGGGTGTATTTTTTTAAATATCATCTAGATCATTGCCATAGCTGCTTTACTACTAAAATTCTTGGGACCATTGTTTAGAAAACAATAAATATTTGAATATGCCTGTCTAAATTTCACCATTCCGTGCTTCCTGATCAGAATATAACACACAGTCCATTCAGACAAGTCAATTCAGAACAAAATTTTCACTTCAAATATACATCCTGAGCTCATATAGCCACTGAAGTCTCCTTAATAAGAGCTTTCTTCTATTTCTCACCTAGAAATCAGATATCAGATTGCATTTAAAAATGCATAATTAAAAGCTGAAGTTTGTCAGAAGATTAACTGTTAGTAACTTCCTGAAACCTCCATTTGAATCTTATATTAGGAATAAGAAACCAGCCCTATGTAACACATTTTCAGAAAGCAGATTGGTTCACGAGAACTCAGACCTGCCTCAGCTTGAACCTCTAAGTAACTTTTGTAATTGACTTTCGGTAAACTATACCTTTCTCAATAAATGGGGTTAAGGATTGTTCTTATTGAGAGGTTCAAGCTGAGACAGTTCTGACAAGAACATTTAAATATTTCAAAAGTGGACCTCCACCTCCAAAATATAAGAAAACCTCCAAGTTCACTAGAAATATTTCTGAGCAACTATCAATCACACTGAGCTCCATCTAGTTTCAGCAAAGTCACGCTATACTGCACTTCCAATCTATAGAACTCTCTTAGAACCATTATACTGAAGCTTAAATGATAAGAATTAATTCTATCCATAACTCTTCAACAACTGCACATTAATGGTCCAGACATTTATGAGAAAAGATTAAAAAACCAAGTTACCTGTTGAGGTGTGATTTCACAAGATCGATCAAGCTCAGAGTTGGTACATCTAGTGCCAATTCCTTCAAGAACCGCAGGTAGGTTCTGGCAAATAGTTCCTTGTCTGCATAAAGGAGCAAGCAGATAGTGCCCATTGTCAAGGGCCAGTTGTGCTGTCTACAGGTCACGAAAACACAGCAACCTATAATTATTTCCTTCTTCTCTAAGCTGACCAAAGCAAAGTAGGGGCATTTGATTGCCTGCTGGTAATAAGACACAGCTGTATCTTCAAACAGAGAAGGAAGTCGGAGAACTTTGCAGAGATCCTGAACACGTCTGATTCCTGTGGAAGAAAGCAATGTATATAATTAAGAAAAACGTCGATGGCCCTCCAGATATTTCTGGCAATACTGGCTGGGGCTGTAGTCTTTGAAGACCAACTTCTTGCTTCAGAAAATTTGTAATTGTCAGAGTCAACACTTTTTTAGTTGCGATACAATAACCGATATGACCCAAATAAACAAAGCTATATGGCATCTACCATACTTCTATTGAATGCATTTGTTCCCCCACATTCAATTCTACTGGACAAATATTATTATTCTGTTCTAATAGCATTACTGCATGTGAGGTTTTAAGAAGGAAAGCAAGATTTTTTTCAATTCCCATTCTGAATTATAGAATTTACAAATATTTACTGTTAGCAATCTTCTGGAATGGAGCAATATATTGTGGTTGGGGAAAGATAGCAGAATCAATGTAAGGAGAAACTCAAGGTATTTGCAAAGCAGAATGGGTATGTATATACATACAGCCATGTTGCAATTTACGTATTTTTTGTTTTTAGATGGATGTCTGTTTTTCTCATAAAATCAAAACCAAGACAGCTTTAACTGGATTTTATATACGTACTATAAAAATATAAGGCATATTAAACGAAACAAGTTAGTAATTTTTATGTAATGTGTGTAAAAAAATCACTGGATGTCTCCCCTTAAAATTTATCTGTGGTCTTTTATTCTGTGGTATATTGTAAAGGTAGTCCTCAATATGCGACTGGTCACTTCATGACTGTTCAAAGTTGCAATGGACCCCAAAAACGTACTTATGACCGGTTTTCTAAGTTATGACAGGCACATATGCTCACGGGATGACTTGATCACAATTTGGACACTTGGCAATTGGCTCACTTATACGGCTGTTTGCAGCATCCCTTCATCCCATGATCATGATTAGCGATATTTTTTGCCAATTTCCAGTGTTATGGCAAAAAAAATGCCCATTGGAGAAAATTGATTCACATATTGATCATCACATTTAAGAACTCCCACATTCCCTTAATGACTACTGCAAAAATTTTTTTTAAAAAATCGAATCTGTTCTTGCCTTATGACTGCAATGAACCACAACCATATTTCTGGGCTCAACTTCAAACATAAGTCAAGAGTTATTCTCTATGTAGTACGTTTATGTATTGTGGGTGGGTAGGTGCATATAAGTAGTCCTCAACTTACAACAGTTTGTTTAGTGACCGTTTGAAGTTATAATGGCACTGAAAAAAATGACTTATGACCGTTTTTCACACTTATGATCAATGCAGCATTCTCATGGTCACATGATTTAGATTCAGATGCTTGACAACTGGTTCATATTTATGACGGTTGTAATATCCCGACATCATGTGATCATCTTTTGCGATGGTCTCAAAAGCAAAGTCAATTGGGAAGCTGGAATCACTTAACAACCATGTTACTAATTTAACAACTGTTAAGTGATTTACTTAACAAATGTGGCAAGAAATGAGGCATAACTCATTTAACAAATTTTTCACTTAGCAACAGAAATTCTGGGCTCAATTGTGGTCATAAATTGAGGGTTACCTGTACGTTAGCACTTCTGCAGTAATGAGTTTCACTTTTTTATCTAAATTTTTTGTAACTATAATTTTATACAGGTCATTTAAAGCAGGGTGTCAAACTCAAGGCCTGCAAGCTGAATCCAGCACACAGGGTACTTAGATCTGGCCCATGGGGCCACCCTGGAAACAGTGAAGGTCCGGCCCGGAGCTCTGTTTTTGCTGGCAGAGGGCTGCAGGAAGCAGTCACTGCCAAAAACGGGGCCCAGGGCTGCAGGTGCAGCCCACCTGAGCACTATTTTTCCTGGGAGAGGGCTGCAGGAGGTTGTCACAGCTGAAAATGGAGACTGGGAACCTGTTTTTGCTGGCAGAGCACTCAGGCCACCACAATCACTCCCAACACAAGTGTCGTCAATCTGGCCACACTCCCCTGGCCATGCTACTGCAGCCCCCAAAGTCAAACACAACCCTGATGTGGTCCTCAATGAAATTGAGTTTGACACCCCTGATTTAAAGCCTACTTATCCAGCAGAAGCCTGGTTCCAGCTCAAGATTATCCACCAGGGATTTAATGAGCTCTTCCAAAAATCTGAAATGGGAAATGACTTTAACAAAGGATACTGGTAATTTAAAATACAGAATGGCTTTGCTTTTAGAGAGGAACTACACCTTCACAAACAGGAAATACAGTAATTTCTACAAAAGGTGCTGACTGGTAATATTAAACATTTACCTCGCTGCAAGCAGCGGCTCAGCTGTTCACTTTGACCAGTACTTCGTGAATATGTCACTTCTAGAAAGACAAAAAAATAAATTAGAAGGGAAAATGACAAAAAGAACATCACATTTCCCCAAACAACTTTTTAAAACTCATACATTTTTATTGTTTAATGTTTAAATGTTTGAAGTTTATATAAAACTCCACAAAGGATATTTTCATCTGTGTAGATCACAGCTATCCAAAATATACTTAAACTTTATGATCCAAGGAGTTTTTAGTTCCACTGTTATTCTTTGATTCACCTTGTAAATGTTCTTCATCAGCATATGTAGTGGTGAGAAGTCCTTCAGTTAGAATAAAGCCACAATCAGCACACACTAACTGGTTCTGAGTGTAGTGGGAATCCTCCACAATTTCCAGGGAGCCACAATCTGGACACTTCTTTTGAGCGGACATTTTAGTAACCTGACAACAGAATTATTTTAAACTGATGATTGAAAAAATATTGGAATTTGATTAACATGTTTGCTGCATAATTTTCCCATATTCCATATGATCCCCATAAATCAGCCTCCATCTGTCTGTCTAATTTATATATTTGAAGTAATCTTAAGAAATTAACTTAACTAATTAGGAAAAAGTAAGTTTAACCAATATGATGGGCATACTTCAAAATACAATCAGTTATAATGATTTTAGCAAACATATTAACAGCAATCATTCTGTTCACCTTTGAAGTCTTGCAATGCATTGTATGCTTCTCAGCAAGCTGCATCATTCATGAGTTTTGTGCATCAATCAAGCACATGCACATAGAAAGTAACATCAATCTAATCCCAGCAAAGATATCTTGTAATGCATTCATGATATATAGGCATAAAATCACTAGAATTCAGAATAATAGGAAAGGACCTTGGACATCTTCCAGTCCAAACACCTGCTCAAGCAGGAGACAAAGTACTGTCCAATCTCTTCTCAAAAATGTCTACTCTTCAATTTCTGTGTCAGGTCAAACAGAATACCAAATTTGGAGGTCTTCTAGTCCAACCCCTGCTCTGGCAGGAAACCCTCTACCATTTCAAACAAATGGTTGTTCTCCTCTTTAAAAACTTCCAGTGTTGGAGCGCATTCACAATTTCTGGAGGCAAGATGTTCCACTGACTAATTATTCTGTCAGGAAATTTCTCTTTATACATTTAAACACTTTTTGTTATATTTTATTGCTAGTGGCAGACAAAGGGGAAACCCAGGCCACCGAGTCAGAGGACCCAGCGGCCTAAAACCTTTTGCAATCGAACACAGCCACAAAGAGAGATTGCTGGGGCTGCGTAGGGATGTTGGGACGCCAGGTCCGCATTGTGCATACCCACCTATGGATTTTAATTAAGCCAGAGCCCATCAAGATACTTGTTCGAAGACCCACACCGTGCGACATGCCCCCCCACCCCCCTTCATAACCCATCTGGTCCCGGGAACGCTGAGGATTCAGGGAGTTGGAGAGTCCCCACATCGAGTGCAGCTGCTCGGGGAAGACTATAGCAGCCACTGTAGGGCATTCGCGTACCTTGTTGCAAGTCAAAGGACGAGGAAGGCTATCATTCCACAGCTGCATTCCGAAAAGAAACAACTCCGCTCCATTTTATCCAATTCGGCTCAAACCGGAAGCAGACCCGCTGGGGGGACTTTTTCCTGGAACACATGCATTTTCCGGTGCACTACAGTATCCAGTCGGCAACAAATTCATCACCGTTAAATGTTTCCGAAGAGAAACAAAGGACGAAGGAAAAGAGTTCCGAGTAAGCGCTGAAGCAGGTTTCTTTTTTTAGACAAATTCGAGGGAAACTCTGAAGATCTGCTACGTCTTTTGTTCGAAGTGAAGGATGCCTAGTTGGCAGAAGCGCATCACCACCATCACCATCACCATTATCTCTTTTATTCATTAAACATGAAACGCAGTCAACTGAACATTTAAAAATGTGTCAGAAGTATAATTGACTGGCACTAATGGTTGACATGGTTGCTGCCAGCATCCTAGGTATCAACCAAGTATTTTCTTAAATTGTATGATGTTCTGAGTAGCTCAGCTTTTTGGTGGTGTTATTGCAGGAAGCTGCAATTTGTTGATGCATTTTATAAAATTCTTGGACAATAGGTATTACTTTATGTTTCATCTATAATCGTGTAGTTTCGATGGCCAGGTCACAATATTTCATGATTTTCTCCAGTTCTTTCTCTTCAACTCTGATGGCCCTTGGTACAACGATATCAACAACTGTGATATCTGGCATGTTGTGTTCCAAATGACAACCTCTGTATTCGAAAGAAGAAGAAGATGATGATGATGGTGATGATGATGATGATATCATCATCATCATCATCATCATCAAAAAACAACAGTGTACATAGCAAACGAGATAACTATGCTGGGTTTCCTATCACAAATCACTAGTCGAACACTTCCCAAGCATTTAGGACTGCGTGATGTATTCGCCGATTATGCGAGCAGATCCCAGTAAGGTGGCCTTCTGCAGCTGACCAATGGTGATTTTGTCAGTTCCAATTGTTTTTAAGTGCTTGCCTAGGTCTTTAGACACAGCATCCAGTGTACTGAGTACCACTGGAACCACCTGCCCTGGTTTATGCCAGAGTCTCTGCAGTTCGATTCTCAAGTCCTGATATCTGGTGACTTTTTCAAGTTGTTTCTCATCGATTCTGCTGTCACCAGGTAAGGCAATGTCAATGATCCACACTTTTTTGTTCTCCACAATCATGATATCTGGGGTATTGTGTTCCAAAACTTTGTCAGTCTGTATTCGGAAGTCCCACAGTAGTTTTGCATGCTCATTTTCAACCACTTTTTCAGGCTTATGATCCCACCAGTTCTTTGCTAAAGGCAGATGGTAGTTGTGACACAAATTCCAGTGGAAGATCTGAGCGATTGTGTTGTGACGTTGTTTGTAGTCAGTCTGAGCAATTGTCTTACAACAGCTCAGTATGTGATCGATGTTTTCATCCGCATCTTTGCAGAGTCTGCATTTGAGGTCATCAGCAGATTTTTCTATTCTGGCTTTGATTGCATTCATTCTGATGGCTTGTTCTTGGGCTGCAAGAATCAGGCCTTCTGTCTCTTTCTTCAGTGTTCCATTGGTCAGCGATATCTGGAATTATTACTTTTGTTATTATTGTTCTTGTTTCAGTTTAACTTCCTTTTCAGAGGTTGGGGGGCATGGCGTTGCATTGGGACCTGTTCTATGCCAGGAGCTGAGATATGCAGTTGGGTGTCTGAAATTTAATACATAAATAATTGGATATCTATTATGACAATAATCAATACTGTCTCATCTGTAGCACCTTCCTCATTACCCATTCTTTCTTATAAATGTTTTCTTCTAAGAACAAAGTATTTCATTGGGTCAGTAGGTAAAGGAGTCTAACTGGATTTTTGTCATTTAAACCTGAATTCAAAGTCAACCTTGGCTGAATATGGTTGACTAGTCTCTAGTGCAGGGGTCTTCAAACTTGACAGCTTTAAGACTTATGGACTTCAACTCATAGAATTCCCCAATTAGCATAGCTGGCTGAGGAATTCTGGGAGTTGAAGTCCCCAAGTCTTAAACTTGCCAAGTTTGAAGGCCTTTGCTCTAGCTCAATGTACTATAGTCAGAACTACAGCCAACTGAACCAAACTATAGGCTAAACATATTACCTGGTTCAATATAGCAAAGTAAACCAGAAAACACGGTTAATTTAAGCCAGATTAAGTTACTTTGCATCAACAAATTGTGCTAACACAGCCATGCAGTTAATGGATTAAACATGTATTAGGCATAGTTGGTTTCAAGATCTGGCTGCAGTTACCCTAAGGATATTTCTCGTATCAATTAAACTCCCCATTTGTAAAGAGCTAGTAGAATTGCAGTCATGTCAATTGTATTGCTGTTGGCTGAAAAAAACTGGCTATTTAGCACCTCAGGACTGTGCTGTGGTATTCTTGATATTGTAATGCATTACAAGAGCTGGACAGCTGTAACAAATAATTGAGCAAAACAAATCCAAAAATTCCTTACTGAGAAAATGTAGGTCCTGAGAATTGCATGTTTTAGCATTTAAAATGTTAAGTGGTTTTACTGGGAGTTTTTTTTTTATTTTCAAGATTATCTTAACCCTAAACAATTATGTAATAATTGCTTGAAATGGAACACGGATGTTCTGTTCACATGTTACACAGAAGCCCCAGGCATCTATTTGATATTCTCATGGCATTGCCAACAGATAAAATTTGAGTTTCCAATCCACAACCATTAATCTTACAGAAAAGGGGATCATAGAATCCCATTGAGGGAACAAAATGATCAAAAGCTGCAAAGTACTAACTTTAAAGTGCATAGTATAACCTTAAGTCATGTTTTATTGCCTTTGAGTCCATGTTGGCTCTTGGCCATACACTGACTAATCCAGGTAGTTTTCTTACTGATGTTTTTGGGTCATTGTCTAGGGCTGAGTGCATGTGACTGGCATATAGTCATCCAGCTAGCTTTGTTCATGTGATGAGAGTAGAACTCACTTTTCCTGGTTTCTAGCCTCTAGCCTTAACTCCTGTAGCACAACAGACTAAGAGTCAGAAATGTATAAAAGATTAACCCACCAACTTCTGATTACACTGACAGTTAACACTAAATAAATCTGATTTGAGCAAAGCATAGATTTATTTTTTGAAGTCTTACTACAAAACTATAGAAGCAAAGGGTCAGAAGTAGTATGCAAGTAATAACTGAAGTATTATCTTATGCCTTAATGCACTCCACTCCATGAAAATCCACAACCAATGCTTAGTTTATTTTAAAATGTGTATGTCAACCTTTGGAACATAGGCAACAGTTCAGCCAGATATTTTAAAAGTTGTAAATATGAAGCAACAATGTTGCTATCTTTAGAAAAGCAAACTATCATGTGAAATGTTTGTTAAATAGTATCATAGTACTAAAACAAATATTTCCCCTGTAATTCAAATTTCCTGTGTCTGTTTGCTCAGATAATCCAGTTCCTTCCTGTGCACAAACTTAGCATTACAATTACTTTTCCAAAATGGGCTCAGACTATTGTAGCAGGAATGCTTTACAGCAAAGGGCCAATTTTTGATACTGCAATGCAGATTTTTTTTAAAAAGCACATTTATCAGGATATCAGTTTTAACTCCAGGATTTTTAAAAAACTGGAACTACTTTTCATACAATCCTGTTTTTCAACTCAGTCTGCAGAGCTATGAGACTAGAGACTACCTATCCTGGATTCTCCCTTCGGCTCAGTGGAGAACCAACTGTTCCATTAACAGATTATTAAAATAGAATTTGAAATATGCATGTAAAATAGCCTGAAATTTCAGTCTCACCAAATATGTAAAAGCAGAGGAAATTAGAAAAAGAAATGTTCTCAATATCATCAAATCAGGATGGTTTTGATCATCCATGTCCATAATCTTATTTTCTACAATTTCTATATTAGGTTTGTAGTGGGACTAAGAGTTGGTGTGTGTGAGTGTGTGATGACACCATTCCCTTTCATGCACGAAACATTTTACAACATGCAAAAAAAGACATTTAAGGACTTCAACATTTGCACATCTGGAAACATCAGCATATAAAAGTACAGTAGAGACATTCAAAATTCTAACTTCCCAACAAACTTTTACTATATTCAAAAACACATTGAAAATGAAAGACATGTACTCCCTGCTTAGTGATGAACCATCGGTTAAGTATTCTATTTATTTTCATATATGCTCTGCTTCCCTCATTTACTAATCTTTATCACATTCATAAAACTACCTTTATAAATACTTCTATCAATCATATGAAGAAAATTTATGTTTAAACAATGGATTGGATACAAGCTTTCTAAGCAAATATTCACTAAACAGTCAATATGCTTATTCATTCTTGGGTCTATCGGTGCATAAAGTACAGTAAATAACAAGGAACACATATTTGTTTAACTTTAAATAACTTTATTTTAACATTTCATAAGACTGAAGGTTTTTGTATAAATACCATCAGGCGATGTACCAACTGTAACAAAGCATAAACATACATTCAAATCTTTCTATGTTAAATATACAGAGGGAGACAAACTATTCATTGCATAACCATTTTATTAAAAATCAAGAATTTACATGAACTGATTATATTTAAATCGTTCAGTAAAATACTGATTTTAAGGCATTGTTATTTCTACATTATATATTGAGTGATATATAATGCATGAAGACTGAGTTGGCAACAACTGGGCCCAGATGAAACTCCTTCATTGTATGTTACATAATATGTGAAACTGCCCCACTTAAAACCCATTAAATACATACAGTTTTGACTTAAAACTATCTTCCCCCAATTTAGCGTTCTTTGTGTGTGTTGAGATCAACCTTGTGCAAAAGGTTATTATGGAACATTCCAAACACAAAATGGACCTTTCCAGTTACTGGAACTGCAGACAGCCTGTTTCAGTTTGGAAAATTCAGCACACTCCTGAGAGTGCAATTCCTGTAATTTTCAACAATGACGAACAACAATGCTATCTTATTGGAACTTATATTATTAAGGATTCTAAATTTGGATTTTCTCAATCTGCTCTAAATTGGTCCAGCACAAGTTTTGGTTTTT